GCGGCTCCACAGTGCTGTGAGCGGCCGGGAGGATTTACCGCCGCCGCCGCCGCTGGTGCACCTCCCGCCCGCCCGGGACGCTGCCGCCTCCTTCCCACAATGCACCCTGACGCCCGGGGGTGCCCTCTCTTCCCTTAGCCTTTCTCCCCCGCCCCTTCCTTTCCGCCGACTTCTCCGCATGCGGGCACGCGCAAGGAAGGGCGCTTGCCCGGGTGTGGCGAGGTGGAGGCGGGGCCTGGCCTGGGCTGTCGCAGTGCGCCTGCGCAGGCCTAACTCGCGGGGGGAGGAAATTGCGCATGCGGGCGTGTCTCCCGGGACTCTAGAGCCGGCGGGCACCGGGCCTTTCCGGTAGGTTTGGCGTACGCGGGTTTCTGCAAATCTGGGGTGTGCTTGCATGTTACATCACTGGTGCACCTCTCTTTACTTGCTTAAGATGCCACCACTTAGGCCTCTGTTGCAGAAATCGCCATAGACTGTTTAAAGGCCGCGGAATCGGGACGACCTTGATGACTGATTTGTACACTCCCAGCAGATTTGCGTTCAGGAGTTGGACGCAGACGTGTGTTGTAGATTTCTTTTTTTTTTCCCCCCGGCTTTGCACCTACTCTTTGACCCCATTAGCTCCTCAGGACGAGCCTCCCCAGCCTCAACGGGAAGCCGAGGGGCGAAAACTCAAAGAAGCAATTAACTCTTTCCTGGTGAGGCTTCCAGAGGAGCAAGAATAGCGACATGATTCCACCCGCAACCCTATAGAGGTTGGTCCCTCTGTCTTCTCCCTTACGATCGTGGCCTGTAACGTTCCTGTGTTAAGTGCCAGAATGAGTGATCGCTATCTAGAACAAAGGATTAGTATCAAGTTTTGTGTGAAATTGAACAAGTCTGCAAGTGAGACCCACCATCTTTTAAAAGAAGCTTATGGGAATGAAGTCATGTCGAGGGCCAGAGTTTTCGATTGGCATAAAAGGTTTAAAGAAGGGCGGGAAGATGTTCGAGATGATGCCCGAAGTGGTCGACCAGTTACCCACCGGACAGATGAAAATATCCAGAAAGTCAAGGACTTAGTTTGTTCAAACAGGCAGTTAACAGTGAGGATGATGGCTGAAGAGTTAAATTTAGATAAAGAAACTGTTAGGCTCATTCTGAAAGAGAACTTGAACATGAGGAAAGTTTCTGCAAAAGTTATATCTGGTATTTTGAAAAATGACCCTAAATCTGGAAAACTTGACTTTCATTCTGACCTTTCAAAAGAAACTAGGAAAAATAGCTTGTGTGTGAAGAAAAAGGTAACGGGCTCTGAAACATGGAGTCGTCTCCAATGTGAAGCTGGTGGAGAAATGCCTCCGCCTGTATCCCATCCCAGAATCCACTATCCTGCCAGCCACCTTCTGCAGGCGTCATCGTCAACTAGCCTTCCCACAAGGACAGCTCAGGATTGGTTCACACCGTGGTGAAAGGACTGTGGGGTAGCTGAAGCCGAGCTAGAAAGCTGCTTCACTGTTAGGCACCTACATTTGCTTCTTGTCTATTTTCAGTCTTCTCTACCACCCCTCCCTACATGTCATGACTCTTCTAGTTACTCTGCTGGATTGTTGGGCTATCTTCTTTGTTGTTCTTCACAACTTTGAAGAACTTTTGCCTGTTGGCTTCTCTTTCTTGCTTGTCCTTGATTTCTTTTGCTTAACAAGTTTGGATCTCCTCACTGCCCAGATCTTAGGTTGTTGTGGCTGCCCTGTTCCTTTGTTCTCAGCATTCTGCCTCGGGACCATACCAGTGATAGGTGGTAACAGGATCTCCTGGAGTCTATATCTCTTTGCCCAGGGAGTCATACTTTTCTGGGAAGACCCCAAGAGAAGGCCTCCAGTTCCAGCCTGCTTCACAGTCTGGGCCTGAGGTACAGTGCAGAAGGAAGTGACCTGCTGACATAGTAAGCAATGCTAAGGGCCAATCTAGCCCAAATGACTCAGTGCGAGCCCCTCAGAACTTGAGTTGGCTACCCATACTGAGCTTACAGACCTACCTCTCATGAAAGAGCTGAGTTTGTTTCAGTCTAGTCCTATGCTTTGGATATCCCCTCTGCTGGAAGAGGAGGATCTGGTTCTAGAAAATATAAACTAGGGGACTCAGGCCTAGGCTGTGATGTGTAGGGAGGAAGGTCAGGTGACACTCTAGAGTCTACATTAAGGGAACCTACTGCCTACATGTTGATTCCCACACAGCAGCCTGTTTTTAATAACTAGTATCAACATTGTTAAGTGTTTTTTGAGCACCTGCAGTTTTTAGAACACCGATGGGCATTGACAATGTGAAGTTATGAAACAGGATCACCAAGGCTGAGTGGACTTCATGGATGAAGTGGTTCTTGAACTGGATCCATAAGGAAAGATGGGACAAGGGGTAGAAAATTAGGGAAAGTTTCACAGGCAGGTGGAACAGCTGAGGCTTTGAACCTGCATTAGTAGAAAAATAATGGCACTTTTGGCTGAAATAGCAAAGTCTAGAGAGAAAGATAATGGTGGTGTAGAAGATGAACAATTTGGGATAATTTGTTTCCTCTGCCCCCAGCTCCATGCCAGTTGTTTATAAATTGCTTCCCCTAAGTCTGGATAAGTTTATAATAACCCACTTGTTTGATTATCTAAATTGCCCATACCCTATCTCCCCAAAAGCAGTCTCTACAAGTTCAGACTCCTTTATCTCTTTCTGCTTCTCTGTCAGGATTTATGGAATGGAACTTTTCCCAAGTGGATTCCAAGTAATACCACATAGACTGGAAACATCTCAGAACTCCTGGTAGAAGTGCAGGCAGGGGGATGGTTAGTAACAGCATTTCACAGGGTTGGCCAATCTCTGTGTTTTAGTCAAGGATTTTTACATTTTACAGCTCCTGTTATTTAACTAATAAGTTGGTGAACAATGTCGATTGATAGTAGAGGCCCAACACTTATTTATTCAATAATTATTTTTAGTTCTGTTTTTCTCGTATCACCTTCAAAAAATTACAAGTTCTTCACTAATACCTATCTGTTTGGAGGCACCATGAAACCTAGACCTTGTCCCACAAATAAAAGATATTGTGCAAGAAAACTCTAAGCAACAGCTTATAGACTTCACCTACTTAGCAATTTCTAGACATTCCATTTCAGGACCATTACATCTTCCTACATTCGGTGAGATCCTGGGTTCCCTGCAAGCACTTCCCACTGCACTCTGGAACAAAGCCACCATGACTGGCTCTTGCACTTTTGTGACAACTTCATATTAATCCTTACTCAAGCCCAGTGGTAATTGTTGCAGAATTGTGTGCTCCTGGGCCCGGGCCAGGATCCCACAACAGTACCTACAGGCATTATCCCCAACCTATTATAACACAGGGATCCTGAGAGAACTTATTTCTTGATTTCTTCCTGTCCTGTGTACAGGGCTGTAGTGTTCATTCCAAAGCTGGACCAAGACCATGCTGGACTGTAGGGTACCAGGAACAGTGTTGTCCCAGACAGGGTCTGAACACAGCAACCAGAAGCAGGTAATCAAGAGTATAAATTCAAATTGTTCCAAGTAGCTAAAATGAAAAAGACTTATTTTATTACCTTAGATTACGTCCCAAGTAGAAATCAGGTCAAACTATCACCTGAACCCATTGCCCGTTTGCAAGATTTCCCAGAAAATGTTCAATTAGATGATAAACCTAACGTGCTTCAGATATTGGGGAAGTGAGAATACTGCCATTACACTCATTCAGAGCAAACCATTCACACATGGCTGCTCAGACTCACTAAACCTCAGACTAGAGCATGATTTAGGAGTATCCCCAGATGGAGAGTTCTTGTATAACAGTACTCCTTTTGTGCCTACCCACCAAATCTGTTTTATTGCTAACATGAATTTTGCTCTGGCCTGCACCTTGCCGCCCAGGGCTCTTGAGTTCTTGATCATATAATCTCAGGGATCCACTCATCATCTTGCCACAGGCTGTTGTCCTTGGCTTTTCTCAGACACTTCTCAGTTTATTCTCCACCAGTTTGCTCTTGTTCCTCTGTTTCCCTGGTGCTTTTGTTTTCTGGTTCTGGACCTCACCTCCCTCCAGTAGCTGCTTTTGGTCACTTTTGGTGTACTGATCTCGAATTGCCCTTTTGGTCATGGTTTTTCACTCAGCTTATACTCGCTTCTGATTTTTGGATCCCTCTTCCAGCTCCTACTTTAGTCCTATAGTCTTGAGTAAGGAAATTGTCTATTCTATCCTTGGCCCCAGGTTGCTTTCCTGCCCTCAGGAAGTGGGGTGGGCAACATGGGGGAATGTGTTCTTGTTTTTGATAATGGAGGAAAAAACTCCTTTCTTGTTTTTGATAAGGGGCATAGAAAAAAGGGGATGGGGGGAAAGCTCCTTTCCACCGGTAGCCACCAGGGCTTGTACTCCCCAGTGGCAAACAGTGTTACTAGTTTCTCAGTGAGGCAATTTTGTTAATTCTGATACTCAAAAGTCATGAAAGTTTTTCAGAGATGTAACATCCAAATCCATTCTCCCAGCAACTGTATTTTCTCTGGCAGGAGAAGCTCTATGTAACTGTAGGAAATGAAGCCTGGCTCTCTGTAGGATGTAAGGAAAGTTGGCCATCTGCAGGCCTTGACCATAATTCTCGAGTTTAATCAGTTCATGAATTTCTTTAGCTTTCAGGCTGATCTCCCTGCCCATTCCATCTAGTGGAATGCTATATGCCACAACTGGCAGTCCAGAAGGAATAGATACCTTCCAGGGCAGATCATCCTATTGTTGATTTTATCCAATTTTCCCATTACCGCACCCTACTTTACTCCGCCTGTCCCACTGGTAATAATCAGAAACAGAAAGAATAAAATGTCCAACAATCTTTGATTTCGAAAAGCCTGTAGATACTTTTGCAGTCTTCTAAATTCTGTCCCTGGTTCTGAATCCTATTGAAATGACATTGTTTGGGAAGAATGTGTACCTGGGGCCTGCTTTCCATAGCCTTCCTTTCAGATCCATTTCTTAGAATTCATACTTGCCATTGGAGATTTCCAGATAAATCTGGATGCTAAATGATTTGAGGATATCTAGAAAAGAAGTGGGGTACTATTGGGGGACTGTCACTGTATCGCAGTGACACTGTTCAACCAGCCTGCTATTTGCAGACATCATTGCCAGCAAGTTTCACTAGGCTCCTTGAGATTGCATCTCACCAGTATCCCATGTGGCTCAATTAGTAAGAGCTTTTGCTTTTGGAATTGTATACATAACCCTGTGTTCTATTTTGTAGTTGGATCAGACCGCTCAGATTTTACCAGGCTTTTACATCCTATCCAAGGCAACCCTCATATATTTATCTTCTGTAGCCTCTGCCTTATTTGATCCTTGCAAATATTGTCCCAGTTGCATCACCCTTCTTCCAGTATTGATACTCAGAAACAAAAATTCTGCAGTGAGAAACTTCAATACCTCTAAGGACCCACTTGGGTCTAGTGAAGCGGTCAGAAAGGGAAATGTCTTAGGATTTGTGGGCCATACAGTCTATTATAACTACTAAACATTTTATTGCAAAAGCAGACATAGCTAATATGGAAACAGGCATGGCTGTGTCCTAAGAAAAATTTTTTGTGGATGTTGGAATTTGAATTTCATATAATGTTCACATATTACAAAACATTATTTTTATTTTTTCAACCATTTAAAAATGTGAAAACTATTCTTACACTTCTTAACTTGTACACTGTAGAAAAACATAGTAGGCCACATTTGGCCCATGGCCCATAGTTTGCCAACCCCTAACCTAGTGTATATCAAGTGTGTATATAAAATGACAGATGATTGATTCTTTTACATCAATAACATTGTTAATGCCAAATTGATCGGGCAGTGCCTGACAATTTACTATCTAGAGATTGTGGAATATTGAAGGGAATCTTTATGGTGCCAGGAGAGTGAACTAGAGGTGAATGATTGACGATTTTACCTTGACCCTATTCTGGTTCACAAAATGAGTTTTGTGCTGTTTTTGACTAAAAATGATAGTACACAAACTACTACCTATATATGTCTGTAATATCTCAAAAACAATTCTGGCAATATTGCAAATGGTACCAAGTTGCAACCAGTAATAATGAACTGAAGGTGGTTTCAAAATAGCCTTGACGATGGGCAGCATTCTAATAAGTTTATCACCTACAAAAGTGACTACTATGGAGGTGACAAAACTCACCAAATTATGTTTTTTTGCATATGTGTAGAAAAATTATATTTTTGTTTTTGTTTTTTGGTGGGTTTTTTCCCCCCGCAACTGGTGTCAAGCTATGTCCTTTTAGGTGTGTTTACTTGTTTTTCTCCTAAAGAAAGCCATATTGTATCACCTTCATTTAAAGTGATTTTCCAAAGTTGAGTAGAATCTCAGGATTGTACAGACCTTTACACAAGTGTTTAATCCAGCCAGTCATGTTTCCCTTGAACCTAGGAGTGATTAAATCCTACAGCTGCTGAAAAACTACATCTGAAAGAAGATTCTATGTTACTTCCACAAATTTTTGTTGAGTAGCTGTATGTGCCAGGCACTGTCCTGTGTGCTGGGGTATGGCAATGTACAAAACGGATACAGGCGTTAGATCTGACAGTCTGAAATCTAATTATATTCCTCCACTTTTGCAAAACTTCTGTTGCTCGAGCACACACTAACTCATTATTAATTGCATACCTGGAAATAGGTATGACCTTTGCCACAGGCGCGCTCTGTATGTTCCACTTAAATTTTATTATCCTTTAGACAGATCTCTGTTGGTAGAAAAACACGCTGGCCATGTTGGTAGTGTAAATTGGCAGCAGCTTTCTGTAAAGCAATTTGGCAGTATCTATCAGGAGCTTTAAAAATGTTTATATCTTCTGATTCTTTAATTTCCACTTCTGGGAATCTGTCCTAAAGAAATAGTCTAAAATGTGAGTGGAATTTATGCTTAACAATCCAGAAGTCCAACAGTAGAAAATTGGTTAAATAAATTGCAGTGTGACTATACAATAGACTATTATGCAGTCATTATAATTAATGTTTATGAAAAGTTAATACAGCTTGGCAAAATGCTTATAATGTTAAGTGAAAAGAGATGTACAAAATGTATATATAAATCCAAAAATGTTTTTAAAATAACTAGTAAGGATATGCTATGGGTGGTTGGAGTATGAGTATTTTTTTAATTTTCTTGTTTCTTACCTTTTAAAAAATATTCCCGAAATATTATTACTTTTATTATCAGAATAAAACAATAACACCAAAAGTTGACAATGAAAGAGTGAGTGAGGCCAAACCACTAGTTTGGTCCATGAACAGTTAACTGGCTTGGTTGACACAGAGGCTGTATGATATTGTGTTGTTAGTGAGAGTGGGACAGAAGGAAGAACAGCCTGCCCCAGAGGAGAAGGGGATATGACCAAAATTCCTACGGAAAACCAAAGTGGTATGAGAAGACACCACAAGTGGCATGCACCTGTTATGTAGTCCTTGGTAGGTGAAGGAGCTTGTAGGAATCAAGTATATTCTGACAAATAGAGAAAGATATGAAATACTCTCCTGGGTAAAATTAACCTCCTTTGGATTTTGTTCTTACATTTTCTCATACAAAGTGAATATTCTCAAGATGGATTTTGTTATAGCTGATTCATTAAAGGATCCTTGAACCTTCCCTACAATTTCTTAAGGATGATAATGGCTTTCGATGTGCCAAGTCTACCTCCTCCCATACTAGGACACTCAAGCAACATGGATGTACACCAGAATATTTGGTATTCCACACTGAGAATACAAGCATATCATTAGTCGTCTTAATTTTGTAACCTACAGAAAAAAACTAAGCTTTGCAAATGTTATTTTGTTGGTGTCCAGAATTACTGTGCTTTTAATTTATGTCCGAAGAGTAATCATGGGATTTTAAAATGAGAAATGATGTAGATAATACCTGTCTATCAATGAAATTGTTGTTGTGTTGGGAAAATGTGTCCTTCATTGTCGCTTTAGCGAAATGTTTATCATTAAAATGCCAAATATATCTCCTCGGTGAAATTTCAGACTTTCAAATGATTACACAAGGTAAATACAGATTTTATAGGCATATAAATTATAGATTTGTCAAGCGAGAGAGTTCTTCAAGATCAAAGTCTAAGTGTCTTGGTTATAAAAAGAACAAAAGAGTGTGACTTGGGTTTTAGTTTTTCTTCTTAACAAGCCATTTGACCGGGCGATTCATGTGCACTCTTGGAACCACTATAGTTTACTCATCTATAAAAGAATAATAACACCTATCTCGTAAAGTTTGTTTTGTTCATTCAACAAATATTTATTGAGTGCTTATATGTATCTGACATTATTCTAGACACTGAGGATGTAGCAATACACAAGACAAATATTTCTCTTCATGAGCAGACATTTAAGTGGGGGAGTCAGACAAGATATAAGATAAATGAATAAAAACATAGTATGTTAGGTAGTGATATTAAATGCAAGGCTTACATTAAACAACGTGTATGAGGTGCCCAGCGCAAGACCTGGTGTGTAGTAGGTCTTTCACTGGGCACCTCATACATATTAGCAATTTCCTTTGCTTCTTTAGTCTTCCTAACAGCTCCTGAATTACTCTACAAGATGGTAGTAATCGGCAAAAAGCCTGACCCATTGCCTTCTATCTCTTGCCAGTTAATAAAGCCTAAACCTGTTTTTGCTTAAGAAACAAAAGAATTCTTTTATCCTGTTTTGTACTTCCTGTATGGCAGATTAATCAAGGTGGCGCCTAAACACTGTTGGTAAATGGCCTTTTCTGAAGCCAGTTGGCAGGGGTCCTTGCCTAGAACTAAATGGCAGGTGTTAGATCCACAAAGACAAATGCATAGTGTTATTGCTGTTTAAGCAAAACAGACTAGGAGACTGTAATTACTGTTTATCTTAAGAGATGTGGGCCCTGTGTCCTGTTCCAAACATTGGAGAACTGGGCAAAGTTTGCATTATTTATGAGAGACCAGGGCATTGACAAAAAGCCAGGAAAAAAAGAGTTTAATGCTTGTGGTATGTTTATATTGCCGCTCATTGTAGAAAATTTGGAAAGTTCAGAAATATTTAAAGCAGCGGCTAAAAGTCTACCCCCGGGGTTCAGGTGTTTCACCAGACTCATCTCTCTGCCTCAGCTTCCTCAGAAACACCCAGTGAACAGTCATTTACTGAATTTCTTCTTTGGGCCTGGGCCTGTACTAGGCACAGAGGGTACAGCCCTTACCCTTAGGCCGTGCCCGGCTTTGCAGGATAGCGGCAGGGCCAGAGGTGGAAAGACCACCGAGAATGTCCTACCGCAGACCGTCAAGCTTTCCCCAAAGACAACTCCAAAGAACAAGTGTTTATAAAAAATTCGAAACAAAAAATTGGATTGATCACACTTAGGGTGATTCGGGTAATGAGAATGTGGATAATGAAGATGCAAAACACAATACTGGTAACCAGCCTGCTGGCTGTTCCAACCCAAGCTCTTCAAATGTGAAAGGGCCTGAGCTCTGTCCACAAGGATGTGGTGTGCAGTTTTACCTCCCAGAAGAAACCGGACATTAGGCTGTGGGCCAGTACTACTGTACCTTGCTTTAAGAAACTAATAAGTGAAAATTGAGAGTTACAACCCAGATTAGATGAGGAAATTGGCCCAGGGAGGTTGAGTGACTTCTTGAATCACACATGTAGTTGGTGGCAGAGCCAGGATAATAATGAAGGGCTTTGAATTTCACTCAGTCCGGTGAATTTTTTTCCGTTACTCCATTGGTAATAGTTTCCTCTACTTAAGTATACATTCTTAAGATATTTTTAAAATACCCTCACATTTGGTAAATAAGATTTACCAACAGTGATTTACATGAAATTTTTAGAGACATATGGCATAGAAGGTGCTACAAAGGTTTTTCCAAGTTTCCCTGGCAACCAGGATGTCCGGGTCCCCTGGTCTTTCCAGAGGTGTGTATTCATAAGTAAATGTTGGCATTTTGTCATTCATTTTTTCCAGATGTTCTTCCCAAGTAATATTATGTTTTGTGTTTTTAATATTTCTCATGTACATTTTAAAAATCTGGGCACATAAATCCTAATAAAGTTCTCAACTATCTCCTCTATGCTGTCTAAAATTTCCGGGTGTGTTTATATTTATAACACAGTATCTGAAGGCATGAATGCTATCACGTCATTAGGGTTTATACTCCTAAACCCTGGACTTGTGTTTCTAGATGTTCTAAAAATTCTTAACACTTCACTTGTAAATGCCACTTTACTATGCCATGACATTTCCATAGTAACATATTGCAAACAGGAAAACAGGAAGCCTAAGGAAAGGGGAAGTCAGTTTCAAATACAAATGTGTGTGTGTATGTGTGTATGTGTGTAGGTAAGTAGTAGAATACATAAAGGGGGTGGAGGGGTAGCGGCGTTGTAAATTCTAGTTTGATGTCCCCTGAGAACAGAATGTCTTGTGGGCCCACCTGGAACTGGTGGTATCCACCACCCACCAAGTGGCCCAATCTTGGAGTCATACTTTCTTTGACCCTCACATGTAGTCAGGTCCATGCCATTCCCCTAAGATTTCTTAGTGTCACCTACTACCAGACAAAGGTGGGTGGTCACCTACTTGTCACCTCACTGTCCTAAAATCCATTCTCTACAGTGTTGCACATGTGCTTTTTTTTTTTTTTTCTGCACATGTGCTATTTCATTTGGAGTTTGCGGAAAGCTGGAAGCTTTTTTGACACTAGCATTTCACACCCTCTGCATGGACTCTCTCCCTGCTGCCATCCACCTGGCAATCTCCTACTTATCACTCATGACTCAGCTTTACCATTGCTGTTCTCTAGTCCCCACCCCTCAGTAAAGCAGACACCCTAGTGTACAATGCATATCTCATGTCAAGGAAACTATAGCACTTAACTGAACCTAATTGTTTGCAGAATGTTTTTCCACCCCTACCAGCCCATGAACTCCTCAAAAGCCAAGAGCATATACGCTTATTCTCTGTAATTCCCTGCATCCAGAATAAAGCTTGCCAGAAACTGCTCAATAAATGTTTGATAGATGAATGAAAATATAGACTTTTACATACAGATGTCAAATTATAATGTTATATAATTATATATATAATTAGAAAATGATATGATTGTATTAACCAGTTACCCCAATAAACTTAATTTAAAAAAATAGACACGATAATTGATTTTTTTATTGTGGTAAAACACATAATATTCACCATTTTAACCATTTTAATGTGTACATTTCAGTGGCATTTAGTACACTTACAATGTTGTGCAGCCATCACCACTGTCCTGTTCCAGAACATTTTCCCCGCTCCAAAAAGGAACCTTGTGTCCATTGAGCATTCATTCCCCATTTTGACTCTACCCCCAGTCCCTAGACACTACTAATCAACTTCCTGTCTCTATAGGTTTGCCTACTATGGAAGTTTCATATAAATGAAATTATGCAATATATGGCATTTTGTGTTTGGCTTCTTTAGCATATTTTCAAGATTCATCCATATTAAAACATTATCAGGATTTAATTCCTTTTTAGAAATACAATATTGTATTGATTTCTACATTTTATTTATCCATTTATCCATCGATGGACATTTGGGTTTCTACCTTTTGAATATTGTGAATAGTGCTGCTATGAACATATATGTACAAGTTTTTGTTTGAAACCTGTTTTCAATTCTCTTCAGTATATACCTATGAATATTGAATTGCTGGGTCCTATTGTAATTCTGTTTAACTTATTGAGAACCACTGGACTTTTTCTCACAGTCATTGCACAATTTTACATTCTCTCTAGCAGTGTATGAAGTGAACATCTCTAGGTTCTCACCAACACATGTATTTTCCCTTAAAAAAATTTTTTTTTTAATTATATCCATCCTGGTGAGTGTGAAGTAGTATGTCATTGTGGTTTTGATCTGCATTTCCCTAATAGCTAATGATGTTGAGCATCTTCTGTTTGTTTTTTTGTGGTGTTTTTTTTTTTTTTTTTGGCCAGATGTGTATGTTCTTTAGAGAAATGCCTTTTTAAGTCCTTTGCTCATTTTTTATTTGGGTTGTTTGTCTTTTTGTTGTTAGGTGGTAAGAGATCTCTATACATTCTGGATTCTAGACCCTTATCAGATATATTATTTGCAAATATTTTCTGCCATTTTGTGGACTGTCTTTTTACTTTCTTGATAGTGTCCTTTGATGGCCAAAAGTTTTACAATTTGATGAAGTCCAATATATCTATTTTTTTCTTTGGTTGCTTGTGTTAAGAAACCATTGTCATATCCAAAGTTATGAAGATTTATCCCTATGTTTTCTTTCGAGATTTTTATGGTTTTATCTATTATATTTAGGTCTTCGATCCATTTTGAGTTTGTTTTTGTATATGGTGTGAAGTAAGTGTCCTACTTCATTCTTTTGCAGTGGATAGTCAGTTGTCCCTACACCATTTGTTGAAAAGGCTTCTTTCCCCATTGTCACATTCGTTTTTGAAATATATTTTCAAATTATAAGTTGACAATCCTTTTTTTTTTCTTTCTTTACCTTAAATATTTGCTCCACTACCCTCTGGCTTGCATTGTTTCTGATGAAAAATTGTTTCTTTGTACCTCAGTGTGTGCTGTATCCTCTCTCAGTGTTCTTAAGACTTTTTCTTTATCATTGACTTTAGCAATTTGATTATAATATGCCCTAGTGTAGTTTTCTTCATATTTCTTGTGCTTGGAGTTTATTGACCTTGAATTTGTGGCCCTAAAGTTTTCATCAAATTTGGAAAACTTATGGCCATTATTTCTTTAAGTATTTTTTTGACCCCTTCCTCCTTTAAGATCCAATTACATGTATATTAGGCCACTTGAAGTTGTCTCACAGGTCATTATGCTAAGTCCATTTTTTCTGTCTTTTTTTCTGTTTTTGTGCCTTTTGTAGTTTCCTTTGCTGTGTCTCTAAATTCATTAATCCTTTCTTCTGAAATGCTTAATCTATTTTTATACCATTTTGTGTGTTTTTTTTTTTTTTTGTCTCCAATATTGTAGTTCTCATCTCTATAAGTTCGACTTGGATCTTTTAAATAGGTTTTTTATTTTTGGAATTATTTTAGATTTGCAAAGATAGTATAGAGCATTCCCATATGTGCCTCATCCTGTTTCAGTTATTATCTTAACATTACTATGGGGCACATAAAAACTAAGATACCAACATTGGTATATTACCGTTAACCAAACCCTACATTTTTTTTTCAGATTTCAACAATTTTTCCATTA